TTACCCTAAGAAGAAACCTGGCTCCCCTTAGCCATCATTACCACTCTTCCCACGCAGTCCCCCACCTTGCCAGCCCTCTGGTCAGCAGCCCAGCTCTTAACCACTGTGCAGTAATACTCCATTGTATGGCTATACCACATTCTGTTTATCTGTTCGTCAGTTAATAGACATTTGGACAGTTTCTACCTTTTGGCTATTATAAACTTGCTGCTAGGATCGTTAGTATACAAGTTGTTGTGTGGATGTATGTTTTTCTTTCTCTTGGTATATATGTAGATATGGAATTGCTGGGTCAAATGGGAACCCAACCCTGTATTTAGTCTTCTGAGGAATCACCACAGTTTTCCAAAACAGTTGCAAGATTTTACATGACCACCAGCCATGTATGAATGTTCCAGTTTCTCCACTTTCTGGTCAACACTTGTTATTATCTATTTTAACCATTCGAATGCGTGTGAAGTGGTATCTCACTGTGGTTTTGATTTGCATTTCACTGATGGCTAAGGATGTTGAGCATCTTTTCCTGAGTTTATTGGCCATTTGTGTATCTTCTTTAGAGAAATATGTACTCAGATTCTTAGCTAATTTTTTAATTGGGTTATTTGGGGGTTTTTATTATTATTGAGTTTTAAGAGTTCTTTATATATTCTCAATACAAGTCCCTTATCAGATACGTAATTTATAAAAATTTTCTTCCGTTCCGTGTGTTGTCTTGCTGCTTTGCCTGTGTCTTTATTTTTAAGTGGATTTCTTGTAGGCATCATATAGCTGGGTCGTGGTTTCTAATCCGATCAGACATTCTATGCCTTTTAATTTGTGTATTTGAACCATTTATATTTCATGTGATTGTTAATATGGTTTAAAGCTGCCATCTCATTGTTTTCTTTTTTTCCCACAGCTTCTTTGTTTCTTTTTTCCTTTCTGCTTTTTTTTTTAATTCAGTATTTTTTAAGCTTCAGTTTATCTCCTTTGTTGACTTATTGACTGTAAGTCTTCATTTTGTTATTTTAGTGAGTGTTTAGGGCTCATCGTATGCATCTTTAATTTATTCTAGTCTATCTGCAAACAACATTATACCACTTCACTTACAGTTTTAGAATCTTACAACAGTATACTTCCATTTCTTCCTTTCTAGTCTTGATGGTATTATTATCATACACTTTAGTTTAATCCCACACTTTGTTGTTTTGTTTTTGTTTTCACTTGTTAAATAGTTAAGATTTAAATAGTAAGAAAATTTTTTTTATATTTTACGTATATATTTCACATTTTTTATATTCTCCATTATGTATATTTTCATCTGGTATCATTTTCCATCTGCCTGATGGACTTCCTTAACATTTCTTATAGTGCCGTGAGGAAAAATATTTTCATATATGACTATATAAATTTATAAGTTTATATGATGAAGGACGCCAAAACAAAATTTTCAAAACAAAATAAAAGGTTGGGAGGAAATGTTTACAACATATCAGAGTAATAATTACAGCAACATATAATAATACCAGTAACAACAACACCCATTGACTGTGTGCTTTGCTGTGTGCAGACAAGATTCTAAGCACTTTACTGTGCATTTTCTGATAAAATTCTTACAGCAGCTATATGAGGTTTGTACTCTTTAAGGGGCTGATGTCCCTAAGAATCAGTGATCGCCTTAAAGTCAGTAAGAAAAAAATAAGAAGTAGCAATTCTTAGATGAAACATGAATAACATACAAGTAATACTTAGCTTCTCTCCTGAGCAGGAGAATATAAATTGCTACCAGAATAATAATGAATGTTAATCTGTCCAATTGGCAGAAATAAGAAACAGTCATATGAATATTGGCCTGCTATGGAAACAGAATACTCATGAACTGTTGGAAGTATGCATTGGTACAACACTTGGAGTTGCCATTCAGTTTCACCTGTTGACATTTAGAATATGTGTATCCTTTTACCAGATGACTGTCATTTGGAAATCCTTGCTCAAGTATCCAAGGAAAAAGAACTTTTATATATGTTTATGTATACATACGGAGCCCTAGTGGTGCAGCATTGAAGTGCTCAGTTGCTAACCAAAAGGTTGGCATTTCAAACCCACTCAGCGGCTCTGAGGGAGAAAGGTCTGGTGATCTGCCTCTGTAAAGATTACAACCAAGAAAACCTGTGGGGCAGTTCTACTGTGTCTACATGGGATCACCATGAATCAGAATCGACTTGATGGCATGCAGCGACAACAGCATATATACCTATCCGTGTGTACACACGCATCCGTGTATATACAGATGTACATCTGTAGTATGTTTGTAATAGAGAACAGTTGGAGACACCTGACCGTCAGTTGCAGAATGTCAGAATGGATGATGGCTAGCCGTAGAATGAAGCAGCCAGTGAAAAGAATGAGAGTGAACGGAAATAGGCAGTTTGACAGGCTGCTGGTGGGAGATTCTCTGGTGGTAGAACTTCTCTGGTGAGGGGTGTTTTCAAATACGTATCAAAAATTCTCATTCAGACTATATCCCTATTGCCGTATAAGCATAGAAGGAAAAAAGTTGTTGGAAAACGTGCGTAGCAGAGTCCTTTTTTTTTTTCTTTAAGGTTGTATGTACTTAACATATTTGTATGTGCTAGCACAAGATTTGGAAAGAGGCACACTACATTGTTCACAGTGAATTTCCCTGTAAAGGAAGGATTTTAACCTTTTAATTATCTCCATTATTTGAATTTTACAATAACTTTCATAGTAGTTTTGAAAAAAACAGTTTTTAAAACAGATTTATTGGTGATAATTTCCAAGAACATATAGAGAAGGTAACAAAACAAGCAAGACCATTTCTCCCCAAGGGTTTCCAAACCAAATGGGCCAAGGTTTTTCCTTCCTGGACTTAAATAGAATTTTATTTTTAAAGATAAAATGCTGGGCTTACCCTGTATAGCCCAGTAGAAATTAAAGAACTGAACTTTTTCAGACTCTGAGTTCCACAGTAGACCAATGCAGTTAGTAAGCTCCAAGACAAACAGTGGTGTGTGGCATTTATAACCTTTACAAACTCATATTAGCAATTAAGCTGGCATTTGAAATTGTGCAGCCGCATTAAGGCTGTTGCAGTAGGGTGTTGTGTGTTTGAAATTGTGACGAGAGTTAAAGTGCGATTGTGAAATTCCACGCACTAGCTTGGAAAGGGAAACCTGTGGCACGCGCCTACTCGAAAGGTTGACCAGTATGATGCGTTGTTTTTACAAGGGTGTGGAAAGGCTGTTTTTAATCACATGTTCTTGTGTTTTAATATAATCTAATAACAAAATAGAATATGGTGCATCTTTATGAAATAGCTAGTAAAATTGGTTAGCTAAAAAGGTTGAATGGGTAAATTACCTGGAAAGAATATTACAAATTAGAATTTGAGAATCAATTATTAGGGCAGAGCTTCTAGTGGGAAAATAATGTTCCACGTTAGGTCTTCAGCACATTTACCTCAAAGTTTTCCAGGTAAATATTATGGTCTAGGGGTTTTACTCCTCTGTTTTGGTAGTGTTTGTGTTGGGATATTTTTTCTAAAAAATAACTTGAAGCTAATCATATATTTAGTGTGTCATGCAAACTGAATATTTAGTACATAGATCTCTTCACTGTATTAAACACTTGGATACATTACTTTAGTACCAAACCAAAAAACCCGTTGTCATCAAGTCAAGTCTGACTCACAGCGACCCTACAGGACAGACTAGAACTGCCCCATAGGGTTTCCAAGGAGCGGCTGGTGGATTCCAACTGCCGACCTTTGGTTAGCAGATTAACGCTTAACCACTGGGCCACCAAGGCGCCTACTTTAGTGTAGTATACCTTTCTTTCTTTTCCAAATCACCTAGACCTAAAGTGGTACAGTCAGCCCTCCGTGTCCATGGGTTCTGCATCTGCAGATTCAACCAAATGCAAATCAGAAATATTCAAACAAAAAGAAAGTTCCAAAAACAAACCTTGCATTTGCCGCAAGCCCAGCAGTATGCTGAATCCATGCAGATGAAGGAATGTGTAGGCATCCCCTGCTGTAGCCTCCGGCCATCTCACAGATCCTCAGCCTCTCTCCAGCACTCTTGTCTGAGCATTGTTCATTTCATATCTTGTTATTATTCCCTAAATAATACAATATAACAACTATTTACATAGCATTTTCAACGTTTTAGGTGTTATAAGTAATCTAAAGATGATCTTAAAACATTAGAGAAAAATTGAGCAGTAATAAAATTTAAGACCTAAATAAAATTTATTATTTTCTATGTGCATAGCGGGAACCAATATATATTGGAAAATTCCTATAGATAGGAGCCATTATGTACAATCACATTGTTTACAAAAGTTACTTCCGTACCTATCAGAAGTATTTTTACGTGGCATTGTGTTGCTGTAGACAGAGAATGATGATAACAGCACTTTTACTGAGTACCAACTGCGTGCCAGGAATTGTTCTAAGTAATTTCCATGCAGTATTTCATTTCATCTTCACAGCAATTCTCTGATGTAAATAGTCTTGTTACTCAGTTTATAAATGAGATTCTGGGGCTTAGAGAAGAGAGAGGTCAGTAGTCAACTAGCAGAGGATTTTTGCCAAAGGCTGCTGACAAAGGGTGGCCAACAATTTGTTATGATATTGTACATGGAGTCTGATGGTGCAGACAGGTAAGCGCTCTAGCCAAAAGAGTGGTGGTTCAAACTCACCCAGAGGCACCTTGGAGGACAGGCCTTTCAGAATCTGCCTCTGAGAGGTCACAGCCTTGAAAACCCTATGGAGCACAGTTCCGCTCTGAGGTACATGGGTCGCCATGAGTCCGATCGACTGGACGGCGACTCACAGCAGCATGACATGGTACGATAATCGGTGATATCTGGAGGTCTTCTAGTATAATTTCACTGTGTGCATTTACCGCCTTCTCTGTTTCTTGGAAATACAGCACAACTGACACGTACAGCGTGGATGGGTCACAGCAGTAACTAAATGCCGTTTCTTTGTCTTACAGCAACCAGCAGGCCTTCCTACTGGAGAACGTCCCTTGTAACAATGCAAGCTGTGAGGGAGCCCATCGTATGTTTAAAGTCTACTGGGACCTGTCGAACCTGAATCAAATCAGAGACGCCGTGGTTGCTACCTTCTTTGACATTTACGAGGATGTGAGTGCAGAGCTTTAATTTTGGAGTGCTTGAGGGTTTAATTCCCATCCACTCGTCTCGCTTGAGTTTGTGTTTTCACTTTCACCCTGTTTGACCAGAAAACATACATGAGATAATGAAAGCAAATGGGTTAATTAAAGAAAAGCCCTTTTTAATGTTAAAGGCAGAGGGAATTGACACGCCATTGGCTGATCAGTACAGTGAAATATGAAAACACCCCTATCCCGTTCTGCGCTTATTTGGATTAAACCACTGGAGAATCAAGCTCTGAGACCAAATCTGCATGTTCAGCAGTAGAAACAAGCGCAGCCAGCAGATAGTAGACCCGTGAGCTTGTACAAGATCAGAATGAGTTCAGTATTCTTTTAGTATCGCGAGCTCGTTAGTTGCCGTCAAGTCAGCTCTGACCCGTGGCGACCGCGTGTACAACAGCAAAACGTCGCCCAGTCCTGCACCATCTTCACGGTTGTTGGTATGCAGAGTCCGTTGTTGTGGTCACTGTGTGTTTAGAGTGCCTTCCACCCTAGGAGGCCCATCTTCCAGCACCATATCAGATAGTTCTCATATCATGAAGTCCTCCCCTTTGAATCCTACTGTCTAGGCAGAGTTGGTCGTGATCCTTTGGGTTTTTATTGGTAATTTTCAAAAGTAGATTGCCAGCCCTTTCTTCCTAGTCTGGAAGCTCCACTAAAATGTATCCTTCGTGGGTGACCCTGCTGGTATTTGAAATACCAGGAGCATAACTTCCAGCATCACAGCAAAGCGCAAGCCACCACAGTACAGCACGCTGACAGACAGGTGGTGGTACCTGTTGCCACAGATCCTTGTACCAGGGTACCTGGTGAGAAACTCCCAGGGTCCTGTTTCCCCTTTCTAAAGTGAAAGTCAGTTTACGCTCAGAATGTTGGGAACAGAAATAATAACCTTTGAAAAAATGGGTTGAATTCAAGAGTCAGTATGTAACTGTATATTCTTGTAAAAGAGTGGTTATTTTAAAAACTTAGATGCCCATTTGGTTTTGGGTTGCTTTTTTAAGGGGCCAATTCTCAGTTATGTGAATTATCAGGTTCTTGTTTCCTGTCTCTCCTACTGCCACTTCTGACGTTGGTTCACGTCACGTCGGTGCTCCCTGTATAAAAGAATCACCAAGGAAAAAAATCGCCAGTGTGGACCACAAATCAATTTTTAATTTCTGTACATCAAAAGTATCATAAATAAAATTAAAAACTTTTTAAATCTAGGAAATAAACTTGCTATGAAAGCGTCAAATAATCTCCTTAATATAAAAAGGGCTCATATAAATTGATTTAAGTCACTTAAAATTCCCTCTAGAAAAAAAGAACATAGTCAATTTACAGAAAACACAAATGGCTAACATATGAAAAAATTTTGATAAATAATTAACCTCATTAAAGAGGCAAAGGAAAGGAATCTTAAATGAACACACCTTTTTGATGGGGGCAGGGCAATCATAGAATTTTCCCCTATTTTAGAACAACAACAAAAAAAAAACCCTTTAATATGCAATAGTGGCAAGCAACAGATTAAAAGATCTTTGCCTGATAATTGGAAACGATTTGGCAGTCCGTAGCACAGGCCTTTGAAAAGTCATGCAGATATGACTGGAAGGAAATACACTGAAGGCTAACAGTTATCTCAGACTGCAAGTGTTCTTTATTTTGTTTGTATTTTATTATTCAAAGTTGTATAAATTTTTTTTTAAAAACCATAATGAGTTGGAATCGACTTGATGGCAGCAGGTTTGGGTTTTGGGTTAATCTTTTTTTAAACATCAGGTTGAATAAATAAAGTTTGCATTTACCTGATAAATGTACCATACATTTTAATGATCATTTTCAAGTCAGTCTAGCAGATTATTCTTATCATTTTAATTTTTGTTTTTTCTAGGGTATCCTGGACATCGTGGTCCTGAGTAAAGGGTATACAAAGAATGATTTTGCCATCCATACACTGAAAAATAACTTTGAAGCAGATGCATATTTTGTTAAAGTCATTGGTGAGTATTTCTTTGGTACATTTTCTTATTAAATAACCAGTTGCTATGAAGTCATTTCTGGCTCATGGTAACCCCACGTGTGTCAGAGTAGGACTGTGCTTCACAGGATTTTCAGTGACTGATTTTTCAGAAGTAGATCACCAGGCCTTTCTTCTGAGCTGCTTCTAGGTGGACTCGAACCACAAACCTTTCAGTTAGCCACCAAACTCATGAACCATTTGCACACCCAGGGACTCCCATTAACGTTATTTTTGTATCCCCTCTCTCGCTGTCTTTCTCTTTCTCTCTCTCTCTCTGTCTGATACGTATCTTCCAAACAGCAAGGACACACTACTGCATAACCTGCATGCAACCCTCCAGATCAGGAAATCAGCATCAGTACACTGCTGTCCTGTACTACACAAACCCTGATCACATTTCAGTAGCAGTCCCAGCAAGGTCTCTTTGTTCTTTCTTGCCCTGGATCCTGTCCATGAATACCTTCTGCAGTTTGTTTTCATGTCTCTTCAGACTTCTGAAACAGTCCGTTTCCAATTTTCCTATCTTTATCAGTTTAAAAGACTAGCGGGCCTTACATCCTGTGGGACGACCCTACGTTTCCTCACTACCCTGCTCAGGCCATGCGTTCTTTGCAGAAATTCCCCTGCCTGGAGTTGCAGGACTGAGGCAGTGCAAGTCTCGGAGGCACATAGTGTTGACCTGCCCCCTCCCTGTGATGGCAGCCGTCATCCCCTGGTCGTGTCGGGGACCTCCAGGTTTCCCCACCTTACACTTGCCGTTTTCCCCGTACTTGATTAGTGTTTTGCGAGGAGATATTTTGATAGTATTTTACTATCCTTTTCCTCAGCAAATTTCTGTCTGCCAACCTACCTGGAGTCCATTGACAACTTCTGCATGAATCCACCTTCTGTGTGATGGTTGCCAGATGGTGATTTCTCTACTTCAATCATTCTGTCTGCATTTATTGGTTGACATTCTACTGTAAGAATGGTTGTTCACTTCTCCTTTGTTTTTATATATTCATTTTTTTTTATTTTAATTTTATGGTGGTAAAATATATGTATAATGAAAAGTTGGCCATTTTATCCATTTTTAAGTGTACAATTCTCTGACATTAATTACATTGACCATGTTGTGCTACCACCACCACTGTCCATTTCCAAAGGTTTATATCACCCCAAATAGAAACTCAGTGCCCCTTTAGCAATAACGCCCATTCCCTCCTCCCTCCCACGCCAACAACTACTAGTAAACTTTGGTTTCTATGCACTTACCTAGTCTATGTATTTTGTATAAATGGGATTATACAGTATTTGTCCTTTTGTGTCTGACTTAATTCACTCATCATAATGTTTTCAAGGTATATGTTTATTTTGTCAGTATAGATTCATGGATTCATATTTATTCGATGGGTTGTAATACATCACTGTCATTCAATTTGATGCTCACATTGTTCCCTGCAGGGCAGTAGGAGGGAGCTCCTTCAGGCTGGTTCCTGTGTGATTTTGACATGTTCTCTGACACAGCAAGATACTCCAGGCTCACCTTGTAGTTCTCTTGCCCCAACCTTGGAATCAGACATTTCTCCAGGAGACTCTGGTTCCTTTTAGTAGAAGATGATGTTTAAAAGCCAAGTTCTGGTGCTCAGTGTGCTGTGTGCTACTGGGCTGTCCTTTCTTCAGGGCTCACTCAATGTACAGAACTAGGAAATACAGGTATGGATTCACACACATGTACACACCTGTAACTATTTTTATATCTGTGTATGTTCGTGTTGTTGTTGTGGTTAGGTGCCATCGAGTCGGTTCCGACTCACAGTGACCCCGTGTACTACAGAAGGAAACACTGCCTGGTCCTGCACCATCCTCACAATCGTTGCTATGCTTCAGCCCACTGTTGAAGCCACTGTGTCAAGCCATCTTGTTGAGGGTCTTCCTCTTTTTCACTGACCCTCTACTTTTCCAAGCATGATGTCCTTCTCCAGGGACTGATCCCCCCTGCTAACCTGTCAAAAGTATGTGAGACGTAGTCTCGCCATCCTTGCTTCTAAACAGCATTCTGGCTGTACTTCTTCCAAGACAGATTTGTTCCTTCTTTTGACAGTCCATGGTATATTCAGTATTCTTTGCCAGCACCATAATTCAAAGGCATCAATTCTTCTTCGATCTTCCTTAGTCATTTTCCAGCTTTCGCATGCATATGAGGCAATTGAAGACACCATGGCTTGGGTCAGGCACACCTTAGTCTACAAAGTGACATCTTTGATTTTTAACACTTTCAAGAGCTCTTTTGCAGCATATTTGCCCAATGCAGTGCGTTGCTTGATTTCTTGACTGTTGCTTCCATGGGTGTTGATTGTGGATCCAAGTAAAATGAAATCCTTGACAACTTCAGTCTTTTCTCCGTTTATCATGATGTTGCTTATTGGTCCAGTTGTGAGGATTTTTGTTTTCTTTATGTTGAGGTGTAATCAATCCATACTGAAGACTGTAGTCTTGAATCTTCATTAGTAAGTGCTTCAAGTCCTCCTCACTTTCAGCAAGCAAGATTATGTCATCTACATAACACGGGTTGTTAATGAGTCTTCCTCCAATCCTGATGCCCTATTCTTCCTTATATAGTCTAGCTTCTCAGATTATTTGCTCAGCATACAGATTAAATAAGTATGTACACTAGGACAACCTAATATAGTTAATTTAATTGAAACAAAGGACTGATGAAGTGAGAGTTTGGAATTTGATCTCTGTCTTAGGCATCTAGTGCTGCTGTAACAGAAATACCACAAGTGGATGGCTTTAACAAAGAGAAATTTATTCTCTAACAGTCTAGTAGGCTACAAGTCCAAATTCAAGGCATCAGCTCTAGGGGAATGCTTTCTCTCTCTGTTGACTCTGAAGGAAGGTCCTTGTTATCAATCTTTCTCTGGTCGAGGCACTTCTCAGGTGCAGGGAGATAGGATTTACAACACATAGGAAAATCACATTGTATGACAAAATGGTGGACAACCACACAATACTGGGAATCCTGGCTTAGCCAAGTTGACAGATATTTTTGGGTGACACAATTCAATCCATGACAATCTCTTATGGATAAGTTACTAAGTCCAGTGCAGCCATTTGACTGATAGAAGCTTTTGTTTATAAGTTTTGTTCTACAAAAGCCGTATCATCTCTAGGAAGAAAACGTTTCAAAACATCTGCCCTGTGACTTGGGTCATTCAGATCATCCTCGTTTGTGAAGGACAGCACTGTTATTCCCCATTTATTTTAATGCAACATCTAATCTCCTTTCCTCCCTCTTTCCGTTTGTTCCGGGTTCTTTGAGAAACACCCTGAAATGTAGATTTGTTTGTGTCACTTAAATTAGCATCTCTCTCCCCTACTACACTGTGACAGTGTAGGCAACTGGAGGGTAGTGTCTGTTACCTTTGATTCTCTGGTACCCAGCACTCGGCCTGGCGCATAGGAGACACCCAGGAAATATACGTCGAACAAGTGCCAGCCACTTTTTGAGGCATGGATTGTCTGTCCTAACTTAAGAGTTTTCCTTCTCCTTTAGACCAGTAAGCACTTGATGCCTCTCACCCCATATTCTGTCTCTAGGAAGACTTCCACCCAAAGATAAAAGTCTAGGGCAGGCCCAGTGCCCACCTTTACCCATTTCCTTCCCTCAGGTACACCGTGAGTCAACAGTTCTTTCTTAGAAAAGAAGATTGAACCCTCGTGAATGAGCTCCCCTTTCCTTGTTCACGTTACCCCGTCTACTCATCTTTCAGATTCTCTGTGATGAGAAAGCCTCGCTTACGTAATTTTCTAGGCTTTACAATATGACAGATGTGCAGAAGGGGTAACATGCACTTAATAAAATGGGCTTCTCTCTCGTTACCTAGTGGGATGGTGTAAAATAACCCTGGGAGAATGTTGTTTCTTTCCAATACGGTTAACAGTTAACAGTTCTCCTTCGGAGTGTAGCTTTCTTTCTGTGCAACAAGACAGCAGTAGGGTTTGTTTCCTGGATTAGAGTCTTGCCAGTGTACTTTAAAGGAACTGTTTTATTAAGTTTCAAGCCTTTGAAAGACACACTGATTTATTACTTATTTCTTTAAGAATCTTCATCTGAACGTGGTATGTCTGTGTGCATATCTGTATGGATTGAGATGGATGTGTTCCAGAACAGATGTTAGGTATTGAGGAGGAAAGAAAGAGTCAAATGAAAGAGATATTAACTTGTATGTTGTTAGGACAAATTCAGTTCTCCCGGCACTCTGCATGTTCTTTTATTCAAGGCTTAAAACCACTTTTATACTGAAAGTTCTTTGTTGTGTGCTCTTAAAAAAAGAATGTGATTGAATTTTCTATATTTGTCACAGATTTGCTAACTAGTGTGAAGGCATGTGATGCTGTTGCTTTCCATTTTGAATCTGGAGGCTATTTCTTCGGCAGAGGTTCTTAGTCTTGGGAAGTAGAAATAAATCAGAGCATAGGATTTTCTAACAGTGATAAGAGATTTAGAACAAAATGTATTTTTCCCAGTTGAAATAATAACAATAAAATGCTCCAGAGAGAAAGCAGTTGTCAGTGTGATCCTCCTTGGTAGGAGGGTCAGTGAAAAAGAGGACGACCTTCAACGAGATGAATTGACACAGTTGGACAATGGGCTCGAGCATAACAACGCTCATGAGGATGGCGCGGGATGGGGCCGTGTTTCGTTCTGTGGTACACGGGGTCGCTACGAGTCAGAACTGACTGCACGGCACCTAACAACAACGGTCTGAAACAGAAGCTTCACGTTTATTATTCGTTATTTATTATTGGTCATGATTAATCATTGGCCACGTCGGAAAATGCAGACATATTATTTAGGGTCCTTAGTCCCTCATAGGGTTGCTATGGGTTGGAACCAACTCGATGGCACCGAACACCAGCACTCCCTCCTTGGTGTTTATCTGTTCATTTATATTTTTTGAAGTTAAAAAAACAAAACCAAGATACCTGAGAGAT